GCTGTAGCATTACTTCCCTGTATCTTATTTATGTAAATATTTTCATGACAGTTGTTCTAATGATCAGGAGTTTTTTGAGGAGCGTCGAACCACCTTGATTACTGGTGTACTCAGGTCCATTTTACTGTTGAAATAGGTAAAGCACTACGTTAGGGTCTAGTAATTTCTGGGCAAAGAGTTCCGGCTTCTTGATTCAAAACAGTTACGAAATTGAAAAAAAAAACGCCAATCGGTTTTAATACATCAAAAATAAAGTTTTCATTTTTTTTTTTTTCTCCGCAATAACGTTTTCTCGTTTTTTTCTCTCAATAACTTTTTGAAAATTATTACAAATATCAATATATTGGGGTGAAGATTTAAAATATTGCCGACAATATATTTTTGCCCTTAAATTCATTACCAGCAATATATATTTTGAAAGAATAAAATATTAATAAATTACACCCAACAATAAGGCCTCTGATCAGGATATTTTTTGAAAGAAAACCACCTCGTGATTATATTTTTGAAGAAAAATATTACCAGCAATATATTTTTGAAAGAATAAAATATTAGCAATATATTTTGAAGAAAAAGTTAACCAGTAATATATTTCAAAAGAATAAAATATTACCAAAAAAAAAAAAAGAAAGGTTTTATTACCAAAAATATATTTTGAATAAAAAAAATATTCTCAGCAATATATTTTTGAAAAAAAAACATTACCAGCAATAAATTTTTTGAAAAAAATTAAATATTAAATACAATATATTTTTAAAAGAATAAATATTACCAGCAATATATTTTTGAAAGAAAAATATTACCAGCAATATATTTTGGAAAAAAAATAAAATATTAATATATTTGTGAAAGAATAATATTACCCGCAACATATTTTTGAAAGAAAAAATATTACCAGCAATATATTTTTGAAGAAAAATATTACCAGCAATATATTTTTGAAAGAATAAAATATTAGCAATATATTTTTGAAGAAAAATATTACCAGCAATATATTTTTGAAAGAATAAAATATTACCAACAATATATTTTTGAAAGAAAAAGTATTACCAGGAATATATTTTTGAATAAATAAAATATTACCAGCAATATATTTTTGAAAGAAAAAACATTACCAGGAGTATATTTTGGAAAGAAAAAAATATTACCAGCAATATGTTTTTGAAAGAAAAAATATTACCACCAATAAAAAAACAAACTTGTCAGCATTAAATAACCCTTTGAGATTGATAGGCCGTAAAGGAAACGAAACCAAAACCATTTTAGTTCCTGTTACTGTTTGAGATGTGATTTCTGTTATTTGCTGCAGATCTTTGTTTGCGATTGTGTAGCACCAGACCACGTGTTTTGAAGTCAGAAGGTAAAATATCTACCGTAGCTAGGAGCAATAAAAGCGTCTAGAACTTTCTTTGGAACGGGAAAATGACAAACATCCTTCAGGATATATTGTATGTAGGCTTTTCACCATGAAATCTAGCTAGCTGAGCAGTGAAGTCACAGACATTGGGAAATTGTCATACAGAAATTCAAATACGCATAGAGAATTTCGGCAAAATGTGCTGAACTGATATGTAATATCAGCCCTCTTCTATAATAGCGAATGTCCAACAATTTCGTTACAGATGAAGAAAAACTCGAGACAACAGAGACGCTGAGAAAGTAAATTGGAACTAAATGGTCATACTATAATTTTTAAGGAAATTTTTAGAAATTACTTTAATCCGATATCATTGCTTTTTAATTTATATTTTAGTGGATGCACGTGTTTGAATAGACCTCTACATTTTAAGCAGTGTGAATTAAGTCTACTGGCCTGTGCATTCGAAAAAAAGCCTAATAGAAAGAATGCGCTCTCAGATAGAATTCGAACTTGCAAAATATTACCAGCAATATTCGAAGTACTATTAGTGCCTTTGTAAAGGAAATCAACGGCTTATCCGGCATTCGTTTAGACCGAACTTTGAATTAGCGATTTTTTTCGGGTCCTCCATATGTGCGAAATTTATTCTCATATCCGAAACATAAAGTAATGGTAATGAATTAAGGGATATTTTCTTACTGTTTCTTATATAGGAATAAAATGTCCCTACTGACACTAGTGCTTGAAGCGCCAGTGAACAAACACGGGCAATCATTAGCGAACTAAACAGATCACGTGACCATACAGGAAACGCATATATAGAGGAAGTCGCGTGACGTCTAATGTGTTCGCTATCTCTTGTCTATCCTAGACGGATCTCTATTTCTTCTCTATCTTCTAATATTATTCAGACCGCTATTCTCTATATATTCGCTATGAAGCACTATTAGCACGAGTAATATTCGAAAGAGGCACGGTGGAGTAATGGATTGCGGATAGGAGAGCCGAGTTCGAATTCTAGTCGAATTCATTACATTCCCTTACGTGCTAATACCCTTGGGAAAGGCATGAATCCTCCTCTTCTCCCACCCACCATATATGGATAAATAGCTGGACAGACCGGGTTCTGTAGCCTTGGATGGCAACTGGTCTACTGCAGAAAGAAATGGCGACCAACTGCGCGGAAAAATCTGCCTCGTCAGTCATGCATCGAAAGATACATGATCGCCTACGCGTGTATCACGCATGGCACATAACGGACTGACTATTCGAAGGCGCCTGACACCAGAATATATATATATATATATATATATATATATATATATATATATATATACACCAATTATATTCTATCCTCTATTACTATAGGATCACTATTTCTACACTATCCTCTATTACTATACGGATCGCTATTCTCTATACGATTCACTATAATATATACTGATCACTATACTAATTACTAAGTGTATATACTGATCACTATACTAATTACTAAGTGGTTACGTTTCGAGCGAGTATTATCGAGCAGGTACTATTAGTGTGTGTAGTATTCGAAGGCGTCTGACACCAGTATTGTTCAACGGCGTTACTATAGTTGTATCTGCTACTACAAAGTCTCTATTATAATGAGCATTAAGAAAGTGACGACTGTTCTTTGACCTTACAAAAGTGGTAACTATTGTTCGTTGACATCGCGAAACTTTCACATAGATACACACACGGTCGACAAACAATTATTTCGTCTTCAAGTTTTTGATTTTATAAGGAAAAAAACAACACATGCCTGATGATGAATAGAAGACTATTCGTAAGTACTAGCATTTTAAGAACATATAAACTGAAAACAACAGACATCAATTTTATATGCGAGGATCACTTCACTCTATGGATTAACAGTATTTTAATGCATACATTATACTACTAGCGATCGATGTCGTCAATAATCGCATTAATATGTCTGATTGATTGATTATTTCTTTTGAATAATATATATATATATTATTATATATATATATATATATATATATATATATATATATATATATATATATAATTTCTATTCTATCCTCTATTACTATAGGATCACTATTTCTACACTATACTCTATTACTATACGGATCGCTATTCTCTATACGATTCACTATAATATTTTTCTATACTGATCACTATACTGATTATTATTATGTGGTTACTTTTCGAGCGAGCTAGAGTAGTTTAATCCACATTGGGTAGCACATAATAGTGGTAATGCACCCGACTTTTCTATTCCTGGGAAATAATTACGCGGTAACGTACAGCTAAAGGGTAGCACAACGATTATCTGAAACGATTATTGGAAACTGCGAACCGAGTTCAAATCTCCGTCTTTTCGCGTCTATGTGTTTTATGTGTGCGTGTTTATGAGTGTGTTGTGTGTGTATTCTATGTATGTGTGTGCTTCTGTTTATTTACAGGGATTTTTAAACTAAGTTCGGCCCGTCAACATCTTCAATTTTTTACGAGAATTTTGCTATACTCTATTCACTATACGAAGTACTATTAGTGCCATTCAAAAGCGTCTGACACCAATATTGTTCAATGGCGTATTGTAGTTGTATCTACGATTACAAAGTCTCTACTACAACGAGCATTACGAAAGTAGTAACGAGTATTCGTTGACATCACAAGACTTTTTTTTTTTTAAAAGTTGTAATCTGACTTTATTCCTTATTCAAACACTATACGCTGATTTCTTGAAAGCATGTTTACCTGAGTTCTGAACAAACAATTGTAGCAGCTATAGAATTTTAATCCACATCGAGTAACCTTTTATAGTCGTCTTGCGGCCAACTTGGCCATTCTTCAAAAATAATTACCGGGAAACGTACCACTAAAGTGATTATCGGCGCGGAGATCGGAAAAATGCGAGCCGAGTTCAAATCTCCGTCTTCGCTTTTCGTGTGTATGTATTTTATATGTGTGTGTTTTGTGTGTATTCTATGTATGTATGTGTGTGTGTGTGCTTCTGTTTATGTACTGTGATTTTTAAACTAAGTTCAGACCGTCAACATCTTCATTTTTTTATGAGAATTTTTCTCTGGAGTTTAAAATTTTCATGAAGTATTAAAAATGTTCCGCTAATTTTAGTGTGACTGTCATCTAGTGGCTTTTAGCCTTTTCCCCAATTTATTGTGATTTTGTAGATTTTGAGCTTTCAGAGCGCGGGAAACTGATTAGAGGTCAAGTGACAACAAGTCGCATTAAAACTCCAGTACCATTCTCAGTATGTCATCTGATGTTTGGCAACGTCAAAAGGAATCGATTCGTGTTGTAACTATTATTATTGTTGTTATTACTGTTCTCCATGGATTGATTCGTTTTTTACGGCTTAGAAACCCTTAAAATCTAAAAATATTTTCTGGATTTATTTAAAGCTAGAAAATATTTTTTAGAGTGTAAGGGTTTTTAGATTATAAGATTTTTTACAGTTAATATTGACTTACTGATGCAAGTATTGCTAATTAACCCATAGCTGGGGAAGAAGTGGTAAATTCATAATGTTCCCAAGGGAATTTTCGTGAATATAATGAACAGAATTGAAACGCGGATCTCCTATTAACAATTCCAAGTTATTATCCATTGCGCCATCCGCATATCCAAGCTTACAACGCCTGGTATTCCCAAGAGGTCACCCATCTATGTACTGACCAGTCTCGTCGTTGCTTAATTTCGGTGATCATACGGAAACCGTTGTTTCAAAGTGATATAGCTCTTATTATTGCTGCTGTTGCTGCAGTGTTGTACGCATTCGTGAACCCCACCAAATTATGAGGGATACTAAGTTAGATAACCCCTTTCGCAGACTCCTTCTTATGCATATTCCTGCTTCTTCAATACGCACAAAAACAATTCTACAATTGATCTGTATGGATCTTAGCTACGGTTTCTGGGAAAGCGTGCATAATTTGGCGTGATAATTAGGTAGGTACCATCTAGGTTGTCGGCAGCTTGATGCAGGCTATCATCAGGACCCTTCCTCTCAAGACCTGGGGTCAGCTGAAGTGTGTGTGCCACGGAGTGGCGACCCATCGGCCACTTCGAACGATTCGCAGCCAAAGAAGCAAATCCTTTTCTCAGAGGTCGCGTCTGGCAAGAGACCATGTATAGCCCCAGGTCGTCGATTCAAGGATCATCTCAAAGACACCTTACTAAGGACAGAAATCGATCCGACCAACTGAGAGACGAAAGCTGCAGAAAGAATCAATTGGAAAAGAGCAGTCCACGATAAAAAAAAATCCTTCGAAAACATCATAAGAGATGAAAAGAGCCATTCCCACCAAAAGTCAGAGGTCTCCATGTTTTGGCTGCGGGGGTCTATACGGATCCAACATAGAATCTCATGTCACACGGAAGGTAATGTCGAAGAGCACCACAATGCACGGCAATGAGAACCGCTAACGAGAACCATCTAAAGCATTGGTTCCCATTTTTTTTTCTCTGGACACATTTTCGGAATTAAAATTTGTTTGCGCTTCACTAAATTTTAGGTGATAAAAAGAAATTAAAAAAAAAGAGAGCGTGTTAAAGGGAGATAATAATAAAATTATCATTGATAACACACTCCTACAGTTTGTGGGCCCTAGTTTCTATAATCTTAGCACTTGATATAATGCAAATATACCACAATTATAACATCGGTCAATAGTTACTTATAACTATTTATAATGGGCGACATACAGGCAATTACAAGTAATCCATGACGATATTTTAATTTATGAAATCATATTTATTTTTTTTGTTAAAACTGCTTCTAAATCTTTCATTTTCTTTCAATCATTCCGCCTCACCTGCTATCCTCTTCCGCCTCACCTGCTATCCCCTCCCGTCTCACCAGCTATCCCCTCCCGCCTCACCTGTTATCCTCTCCCGCCTCACCTGCTATCCCCTCCCGTCTCACCTGCTATCCCCTCCTGCCTCACCTGCTATCCTCTTCCGCCTCACCTTCAATCCTCTTCCTCATCAACTGCTATCCTCTGCCGCCTCACCTGCTATCCCCTCCCGCCTCACGTGCTATCCCCTCCAGCCTCACCTGCTATCATCTTCCGCCTCATCTGCTATCCTCTTCCGCCTCATCTGCTATCCCCTTCCGCCTCACCTGCTATCCCCTCCAGCCTCACCTGCTATCCCCTCCAGCCTCACCTGCTATCCTCTTCCGCCTCATCTGTTATCTTCTTCCACCTCACCTTCAATCCTCTTCCGCCTCACCTGTTATCCTCTTCTGCTTTGCCTGCTATCCTCTTCCGCCGCACCTATGAGGCGCGCCACACCGTTTGGGAAACAATGATCTATGGACTGACCAGTCTCGACGTTGCCTAACTTCGGTCATCGTACGGGATCCGATGTTTCAACGTGATTGTACCCTAAGCCAGATTTATCTGGAAAATAATTTTCTCGTGTCAGTTAACTGTTATCACTCTTTCTAGTTGTGACAGGAGTTTCCTTCCAAATCTTTTGCTCAAAGAAAACTAATACCCTGATTGTTGTATAGACCACTTTCAGGGATTCTCTTGGGCGACGGCACCGATTCAATCATATTACCGTTGCCTTCTCGCTTTTTCACACAGACGGTGATGGCCAGTTGATTGGCTAGGAGATAAAAAAAAAATAGAATCGCAACAAAGGAATATTAATCTTAACTATTTTATTCGGAACGTCGAAAAGTACATTTATAACAAGCCAGTGGGGTTACTATCCCACCCACTGGGGAGCAGCTTCCAGACACGACAGGAAGACGTCTACAGTCTTCGACGTGTAAGAATCGACTCCTTGAAATCCCTTTCTCTATTTAAAACTCCCACGCTAGTGTGGGAGGGTTAGACAGAGAAATCTCCCGGACGCTTTACTAAATTCGTTATAACTGATCCATACACAGAGGTATTTGAAGTGTTTATTATTTCGTATTATTATTATTATTATATTTAATAATAATAATTAGAATTATTATTATTATTATTATTACTTCTTCTTTACCCTTATCTTCTTCACTTTCTACTTCTCCATCCGATTCACCATCATCTTCTTCTTCCCATTATTATTATTATTATTATTATTATTATTATTATTATTATTATCCCCTCTGCCTTTTCCTTCTTCTTTATCCTCATCTTCTTCATTTTCTACTTCTCCATCCTATTCACCATCATCTTCTTCTTCCCATTATTATTATTATTATTATTATTATTATTATTATTATTATTCCCCTCTGCCTTTTCCTTCTTCTTTATCCTCATCTTCTTCATTTTCTACTTCTCCATCCTATTCACCATCATCTTCTTCTTCCCATTATTATTATTATCATTATTATTATTATTATTATTATTATTATTCCCCTCTGTCTTTTCCTTCTTCTTTATCTTCATCTTCTTCCTTTTCTACTTCTCCATCCTATTCACCATCATCTTCTTCTTCCCATTATTATTATTATCATTATTATTGTCATCATCATCATCATTCGATTTCTGCTATGGACACACTACCTACCAAGTCTGCGGAAAGACCTAAGGCAGGTCGTGGTGTGTTGTTATGGCCACATTTCATGTTAATTTTTTTTTTTTTTTTTTTTTTATCTCCGATGAAGTTGCTAGCGTTACATAGACAAAGTTCTCCTTAGTGTGTGCTGTACTTAATAAGACAATTTTCTGTATGTCTCTTAAGCTGGGGTTTTCAGGGATTCTTTCAATGTGTTGTTTTGTTCCATTTTTTATAATTCCAAGTGCACCTATTACCACTGGTATTATTCTTGTTTTCAATTTCCACATTTTTTCTATTTCAATTTCCAGGTCTTTGTATTTTGATAGTTTTTCAAATTCCTTGGTTGCTATGTTACAATCCGCTGGACAAGCCATATCAATTAGTAGGCAAGTTTTTTCTTTCTGGTTTTTGACAATAATGTCCGGCCTATTTGCTTCAATTTTTCAATTTTTTTATTATTATTATTATTATTATTATTATTATTATCATTATTATTATTATTATTATTATTATTCCCCTCTGCCTTTTCCTTCTTCTTTATTTTCATCTTCTTCATTTTCTACTTCTCCATCCTATTCACCATCATCTTCTTCTTCCTATTATTATTATTATTATTATCATTATTATTATTATTATTATTATTATTATTCCCCTCTGCCTTTTCCTTCTTCTTTATCCTCATCTTCTTCATTTTCTACTTCTCCATCCTATTCACCATCATCTTCTTCTTCCCATTATTATTATTATTATTATTATTATTATTATTATTCCCCTCTGCCTTTTCCTTCTTCTTTATCCTCATCTTCTTCATTTTCTACTTCTCCATCCTATTCACCATCATCTTCTTCTTCCTATTATTATTATTATTATTATTATTATTATTATTATTATTATTATTATTATTATTCCCGTCTGCCTTTTCCTTCTTCTTTATCCTCATCTTCTTCATTTTCTACTTCTCCATCCTATTCACCATCATCTTCTTCTTCCCATTATTATTATTATTATTATTATTATTATTCCCCTCTGCCTTTTCCTTCTTCTTTATCCTCATCTTCTTCATTTTCTACTTCTCCATCCTATTCACCATCATCTTCTTCTTCCCATTATTATTATTATTATTATTATTCACCTCTGCCTTTTCCTTCTTCTTTATCCTCATATTCTTCATTTTCTACTTCTCCATCCTATTCACCATCATCTTCTTCTTCCCATTATTATTATTATTATTATTATTATTATTCACCTCTGCTTTTTCCTTATACTTTATCCTCATCTTCTTCATTTTCTACTTCTCCATCCTATTCACCATTATCATCATCGTCACTAAAAGATCCAAATACGGTACTGCATGCAAACGTTGTATACCTCTTTTTTTATTATCTTGGACCAATTAAATCACCCTTACTCTATATTCTAAGCCTAGAAATGCGACCAACAAACATAGCCTCCTCCCTGGTGTAGTGAGTTCACCTTCAGTTATTGTGACCACATGTTGCATTTCATATCATATCTGCATTTTGATAAATAACTCGTAAGAAATTACACCCAAATTCTCTTCGCTTCTTTACGGAGAATTTTTTTTCTTTTCTTTTTCCCACCCTTATCGCTTGATACCGCGATTAGTCGACACGGAATAAAATCATTCAATTTGATATTTTCATTAAACAACAATTACTTTATGGCTAATGAAAACACAATTATCAATTAACAATGCGCGGATTCATTAGTTATTCATTCATTTGTCGTTGATTAAATGAGTTCACCAGGCAACTTCATTAGGCGAATCAATTAACAACCGTCGTTAATTGGCTAGCTCTTCAAGAATTGCAAGTTATCTGATCAGAGGAAATGGCTTAATTGTTGATTTTTAAACACGATGCGTATCAGAAATTTATTTCGTGCAAGACTGATTGGGAACAGAAAGGGCTGTTGGTATAACAGGATCATGGCCTCTTCTCGAGAGATCCGTTCAAAGTATCAGTCTAAAGTATTTTTGATATATACCAAGTCTTTTTACTTGAATCTTCATACCTTCGGAAAGTGTGCTGGACTGTCTTCATTAGACTTACTGGATTTCTAAAATGTTCCAGTAGCCCCTTGCGTCTTAGTGACTTTATCGCCTTTCCTTGGAATGAATTTATTAAAAACTTCTCAAATCAGTCTAACTCGTTAATCCTTATCGAAACACCTAAAGATTTTTTCAAACTTTAGATGGTCAAAATGTACGAGCCACAAGAGACCATATGAGCACAAGGATATTTTTTACCCTGTGACCCTTAGGCTAGTAGGGGCACTATGTGTACTGTTGCCACAGTAGGAGTGGTGTTTATTGGGCAAATTAGCCTGACGGAACACAATTCTCTCCATGCTGTTTTTGAATTCATAGTTTTTCCTTCTCCTAGACAGGTTGCTACCCAAGGCAATGGAACCCAGTCTGTCCTGCTATTTACCCATACTGGGGGAGAGACGAAGAGGATTCATAACTTTCCCAAGAGTAAGTGAATGTAATGGATCCGACTGGAATTCGAACTCGGCTCTCCGATTCCCCAATCCAAATCGTATTCTTTACTCCACTATGCTTCCTCGTGGTGCAACAAAAACAAAATATATAAACAAAAGCAAAAACGTCGCCACTCAAAATCCTTAAATCAAAAGACACTAACTTTTGTGATGTCAACGAAGACTCGTTGCCACTTTTCTGATGTCAACGAATACTCTTTGTCACTTTCAAAATGCTCGTTGTATTAGAGACTTTGTAATCGCAGATAAAACTAAAGTAACGCTGTTGAACAATACTGGTGTCAGACGCCTTCGAATAACACTCGCACTAATAGTACTGGCCCGATAATACTCCCTCGAATCTGTAAAATGATCCGAATAGAGAAATAGTACAGTGAATAGAGTAGAGAATAGCGTTCCATATAGTAATAGAGGATAGAGTAGAAATGGTGATTCGTATAGTAAGAGGGGATAGAGGAGAAATAGGCATCTATCTTGACGTCACTTGACATTCAATATATGCGTTTCCTCTATCGTCCAGTGGTCTACTTAATTCAATAATGGGATCTGTGTTTGCACAGTGGCGATCTCTGTTCAAACTCAAGTGTCGGCAGCGTTGCTTTATTCCTATATAACACTCGCAATCATCATGTCAAGCCGCCTATTATCGCCGAAAAGAACACCCACCCGTTAAAAAGATTATCGTTTGCATCCTGACCAGACTGCTATGGCATGAGACTGATTCTCGTGTTATACGTCTTCAAAGGCCGAAATGTGGCCCAAGGGTATATAAGGTTACAAAGGTATGAACATTATGCACCTAATAAAGCTCAAACTCCTTCGTAATAATGGCCAAACCGATTTGTTCGTTAAGCATCACTATCCGGATTGATTCGGAAGTATGCATGTCAAACTATCTGCCCCTGGCAGAGAGGAACCCAGGCGAGGCTATGCCGAAGGGCAGACTATCGTATGGGGTGGTAGACAGCTACCCGACCACGTTTTTTACGGGCTCTACGGGGATTTTTGACTGAGCCTACGGGCTCGGATAACACGAAATAAAATTGGTTTTGTGCCACATCCGGCAGTGGGGTGTGGTAGGTGGATATATCATTATACGGATTACTATTCGGATCACTATTCGGCCCTTACTTTCCAAACGAGTATTATTGAGTAAGTACTGTTAGTACAAGTGTTATTCAAAGGCGTCTGACACAAGTATTGTTCAACGGCGTTACTGTAGTTGTATCTGCGATTACAAAGTCTCTACTACAACGAGCATTACGAAAGTGGCAATGAGTATTCGTTGACATTACAAAAGTGGCAACGTTATTTTATTTTATTTATTTATTATATTATTTTATATTTATTCATGTATCATGCAATATAGAGCATAAATTCCTGAACACAGATTTATATGCACGCATCATATGCATCCATCACGTGTACCCCTCTCCAATTCGCTGCAAGGCACATGCATATTTGAAGACAGTCATAATGAAATTCAGATGTGCGTACAGTTTTTTTGAAAGGTCACCTGTTTCTGTCGTGGCTGATAGAAGACTTCTAGGAAAAACAATGTTTTTTTTTTTCTTTTCTTTGTATTTTATGTTCTTTGATTTGCTTCCCTCCTTTTTTAATTCAATATTCCATTCATTTTTTTTTAAAGAGCTGTGAGTAAGACTTGTCGGCTTTACACGGGAAAATGAATTAGAATTTCATATTTGTGTTACATAAGAATAAAGTGTCGCTGCCGACACTGGAGTTTGAACACAGATCACCAGAAAGCAAACACAGACGAGGTTATGCCAAAGGGCAGAGTCTCGTCTGGGGTGGTAGACAGCTACCCGACCCCATATTTTACGGGGTCTACGGGGAATTTTTGCCCGAGCCTACGGGCTCGGATACCCCACAATAAACTCGTCCTTTTGCCACATCCGACCGCGTGGGACGGTAGGTGAATATCATCATTCTCCGAATTGCTTCGAAGGTGTGCTTGTCGAACTCTCTGCAGAGAGGAATCCAGACGAGGCTGTGACAAAGGGCAGAGTCTCGTGTGGGATGGTAGACAGCTAACCGACTCCGTTTGTACGGGTCTACGGGGAATTTTTGCCCGAGCTTACGGGCTCGGATACCCCACAATAAATTCGTCCTTGTGCCACATCCGACCGAGTGGGGCGGTAGGTGAATATCATCACTCTCCGAATTACTTCGGAGGTGTGCCTGTCAAACTCTCTGCCCCTGTGTAGAGAGGAACCCAGACGAGGCTGTGCCGAAGGGCAGAGTCTCGTATCGAGTGGTAGACAGCTACCCGACCACATTTTTTACATAGTCTATGGGGAATTTTTGACCGAGCATACGGGCTCAGATATCCCACCATAAACTCGGCCTTGTGCCACATCCGACCGCGTGGGGTGGTAGATGATTATTTCATTGAACGCCGACATGCCAAAAATAAGCTCATTTTAGTTTCACTCATGGTAACGAATATAAAGATCCTCGAACGTATAGCTCCATATTTGATCTGATCACCTGACCTCAAGTGGAATTCTGGGGATGTAGCAAAGACGGCCGGATCTCTGTACCGCTCGAGGAACTTTCTGACTCTTGATGCTATCTTTTACATTTTATAAGAACTACAATGGAGCAACGCTATCATATTTGGCCGGGAGATGACCACTCTTCATTTTCCTGTTTCGATAGAGTTCAAAAACATATCCCAGTCCTTATATATTTCCATCTTCCATCGTTCTCTCGTAGGTGGAATATGGTAAGCCTCTTTCTGCGCTATTGCTACTTATATGGAAAGGAGCTCTCGAGTCTTCACGTTCTGGTTTCGATAGGGTTCAAAATCGACTCCGGGTCCTTGTGGGTGACGAATTATTTTCCAGTCTCCAACTTCTCCTCTCACAGGCAGGTTGTGGCAAGCCTCTCACTGCGCTATTGCTACTTGTATAGAAAGTTCTCTGACAAACTTTATTCCGCGAGTTCTAAATTTCACGCCTAGGACACGCCATGCCGTTCACATTGTAGCAAACCGTCCAAATGTCTTCCCTATTCCATTGGTGAGAAATTCTTCCTGCGAACCGATTCTCTGTTGAACAGTCACCCACGAAGATATTTCCCTGATGACTACAGCCTTAACCTGTTGAAGTCTACGGTTAACCGTTATCTTCAACAGCGATTCGCATAAACTGCCTCTTGATGTAACCCTCTACTTCAATTGGTACTCCGGCTTTGTAAAGAGTGAATCTGATTGTAAAAATTATTGATGCACTTTGTGTAGAACAAACGTCTTAGTAAATGATGATCACACAGATTTGCTCGCTAACCATCTCTACACGTTGAGGCCCAAATGTTATTGATTAAATTCAGTTTAGTTTGGCCTATGTTTCCCCGTAGAATCGAATGTCGATCTCAGTATTTGTGACCATCGGCCATCGACTGTCGAATAGTTCTTTAACTTTTAACTCAAGCTGAGTTACCCAACTTTTTTCTTTTTTTTTTTTTCTCAATCTTCCGAATTGCTCTCTATGCTTAGTTTTCGTTGGCCTTTATACGGGGCTTCTTTTTTTTTCTTCTATGACTTCCCTTTTTTTCTTTCTTCTCTTCGTCTTCTTATTCTTTAACGTTTGCGTTAAATAAATTAATCATTTCTTCCTTTCGTTTTTCTACAGCTAAATAGCTGAATATCTAGAAGCGTATCTGCGAATCCCCACACTAAATACAACATTTTTGTTGTTTTTTTTTTTTTTAGGTTCGTTTTTTTTTATCCATATCGTTTTAGGTTCGCAATCATTAAGCTTCTTTGGATCAGCGCCATTATAGATTGTTTAACCTTCCCGTGTGACCCCTTTCAGCGAAACGCTGAAATCAAGGAACACATCTCAACGTAATGAGCTAGAAGCGAACCGCTGACTCTGACTCGTCGAAGGTAAATTTATCTGTGCCATGAAAAGCTACGAGTAAAAAATCTAAACCCGCTTAAAATGAAACCAATAATACCTTCATACCACCCACAATTAACCCCGAAAGTCCCCGCGATATTAATAAAAGCCATTATATCGGAGGACCTTACCCCAGTCAATAGCTGGAACTAATGTCTGAAAGATTATAATATGAACGTCCAACTGATATGTTTAGATATCTGTTACACATAAGATTATACAATATTCTCTGTTCATGTGCTCTGCTTATAGTTGATAATATTTTGTCAGGTGATCGATGTTTGAGATTTTTGTTGTTGTTACTGTTACAGTGTAAGCATGGCCGCTCCGTTAGCAGTTTATCCGACGTGCTTTGGCCGATTAAGCCACGATCAAATAAGGATGAATAGTGACTTTAACCGAAATATTTTCATCATAGATTCTCGAAATTTTCATGCCCGCTCGTTTGCATTTCCAATCGTTCTCAAAGCAATTTCTAAAGAAGTAATGGATCTTTATTTATTGAACTGACAATTTTCATACAGAGTCTCACAAATGAACGGGCGGTCTACACAAATATAAGTATCTATTAATAAAAAAGGCTTAAAGTGATAAAACATAATGATTATATATATATATATATATATATATATATATATATATATATAAGAGAAACTGTAAATTTTTTTGTGACGCCTTTCATCCTTTACTTGACAAACTTAGGAATAAACATAAAATTTTATATATAATTAATTATTTCATCGGATGAATAATGTTTGTTGATATATAAATTTATATAAACTCATGTATCGTTATATATATATATATATATATATATATATATATATATATATATATATATATATATATATATATATATATATATATATATATATATATCCTAGCTAGTGAAGTCTTTCGCATGGTAGAAACGTTAAAATTTCCCTTCCGCTCTGCAATCATAGCTTAGAGGTACTATCTCTCACTGATGCTAAATTGATCGGGTTTCAATCGCGGCTTGAAGCAATCGGATGTCTAGTCACACTGATGAGCTGTGATACAGGGAAACAGTCTGTTTGTGGATGACTATATATATATATATATATATATATATATATATATTAAGTAATTCTTCGAGTCTAGAAAAAACCTCAACAGAATGCAGAAAGCACTGGACGGCCGTTTCGTCCTATATTTGGGACTCATCAGCAGTGCGCATCCACTACAGAGAATTGGAACACGAACAGTTACGTTATCAGGCAAACGTCATACCAACTGTTCCGACGAGCCTCTCCCCCCCCTCTCTCTCTCTCTCTCTCTCTCTCTCTATCTATCTATCTATCTATCTATGTATCCTTGTTCCTGCCAAAGGTGTCTTTGTTTCGTAAAATTTAACGCAGTATTTATAACACCTGTGGAAGTAATACATTTATACGTACGTGTAAGTATGTGTACGTATATGTAGATATTTATCCTAACCATTCTTATATTTACAGCTAAAATGTGATGTTTGATGATTCGTCGCAGGGAGAATTTATCATGTTTTTACTTATTTTATGCCTGGTAATAGTAAAATATATTGATTGGTCGTTATATTGTATTTTTAGTATTGGCGTCAGGTATTTTTACAATTTTTTTTTTTATACCAGTCATGTAGTTGGGAAAATTATTGATAACGAAATATTGTTTGATGTATTTGTGCTCACTCTGAAATATTCTCTGGGAAGAAGAATTTAGGTAAGATATATTTAGGAAGATTTTTTTTTATCACTGCAATTTTATATCTTTCAGAGTATTGGCTATCATAGTTTAGAAGACTTGGGTTCGTACTGGTAGTTTTTTTTTTGTACGGGCATGTGCAGAGAGCAGACACAGAAAAGACATTACAAAACCTCCTACAGAAGGTAGCGAAGGAGAGCAAGAAGAAGGGACTAATTATAAACCAGAAGAAGGTAATCAGTAAAAAGATGAGTCTGAAATGCAATTTACAGATTGGGGACACTAAAATCAAGCAGGTCTGGAAATTTAAATGTTTTGACAGAGGACGGTAAATGCGACGCTGACATCCGAAGACGTATTGGGATGGCCAAAGACGCATTCCAAAAGCTAGACAGAGTATTACCAGACAGGAGGATTTCGTTGGTAAGAAAAAAGAAAAGAATACAGAGATGCAACGTAATATCAGTCATCCTTTATGACAGCGAATGTTGGACGGTCTCCTCAAACATGAAGAAGAAATTCGAAGCGGCGGAAGTATGGTTCTACAGAAGGATGCTAAGGATGTCATGGACCAGAGCGTGTGAGCAACGATGAGGTTTTGGAGCAGATGCAAACAAGGAGGAAACTTATACTTAACATCAGAAAGAGACAGCTGAAAAATCTGGGACACGTAATGAGAAAGGACGGCTTGGAGAATCTAATACTCACAGGTCGAATAGAGGCAAAAACAAATAAAGGAAAGCAACGCATGACATAACTAGCGGACTTAAGCAAATGATAAGACCTGGGGAACGTAGCAAAGGGACAAAAATTATTGAGAGCTGCAACGAATAGGAGGATGTGGAAGGCCATGATCTCCTACGTCCTGAAGGGACACGGCACATAAAAAAGAAGATGGCAGATCCTTTGGGTGTTGTATCCTTGTTCCTGCCAAAGGTTAAAAAATGTCAAAGACGTTTGCTTGCTCGAACAAACCGGCAGCATTTTTATCCGCCTTTGAGAATGTTTGGAAAGGCATTCAAAAATTCTTTGACCATTCATCCGTTCTTTCCAGACGGCTTGGCTCCAACAGAGGAATCGCATGGTAAATAGGGGTAAACGGTTACCCTACATACCTCGCCAGAATATTAAACTGTGATGAGAGAAAGAAAAAAAAAACAGAAGGTGGTTGGTCGACATACAGGAACTCATAACGAAACAGTCCGTTGGTATAATAGCAGAGAACAATAATCATTCAACACATTCTTTTCCGTGAACTCTTGTTTAAATAACCAGAAAGAAAGAAAAAAAAGTGTTGGCAAATGTTGAGGAATTCATATTTAGGAAAGTCTTTTTTAGAATACCTTTTAGTATATGGTTTCATTATGATTCATATTTTGGAAAGTCTTTTTTAGAATATCATTTAGAATATAGTTTCATTATGATTCATATTTAGGAAAGTCTTTTTTAGAATACCATTTACAATATGGTTTCATTATGATTCATAATTAGGAAAGTCTTTTTTAGAATACATTTTAGAACACGGTTTCATTATGATTCATATTTAGGAAAGTCATTTTTAGAATACCTTTTAGTATATGGTTTCATTATGATTCATATTTAGGAAAGTCTTTTTTAGAATACCATTTACAATATGGTTTCATTATGATTCATAATTAGGAAAGTCTTTTTTAGAATACATTTTAGAACACGGTTTCATTATGATTCATATTTAGGAAAGTCTTTTTTAGAATACCTTTTACAATATGTTTTCATTATGATTCATATTTAGGAAAGTCATGTTTAGAATACCTTTTAGAATATGTTTTCTTTACGATTCATATTTAGGAAAGTCTTTTTTAGAATACCTTTTAGAACATGGTTTCATTATGATTCATATTTAGGAAAGTCTTTTTTAGAATACCTTTTAGAATATAGTTTCATTATGATTCATATTTAGGAAAGTCTTTTTTAGAATACCTTTTACAATATGTTTTCATTATGATTCATATTTAGGAAAATCTTTTTTAGAATACCTTTTAGAACATGGTTTCATTATGATTCATATTTAGGAAAGTCTTTTTTAGAATACCTTTTAGAATATGGTTTCATTATGATTCATATTTAGGAAAGTCTTTTTTAGAATACCTTTTAGAATATAGTTTCATTATGATTCATATTTAGGAAAGTCTTTTTTAGAATACTTTTTACAATATGTTTTCATTATGATTCATATTTAGGAAAGTCATGTTTAGAATACCTTTTAGAATATGGTTTCATTATGATTCATATTTTGGAATGTCTTCTTTAGAATACCTTTTAGAATATGGTTTCATTATGATTCATATTTAGGAAAGTCTTTTTTAGAATACCTTTTAGAATGTGGTTTCATTATGATTCATATTTTGGATTGGCTTTCAGGGTTCTACAAAAGTCTGCTTCAGCTCTATACTGCTAAAGCATGTTCACACAGTAACTTTCGACCTTGAGTGGATCTTGCGCCTTGTACAGATTGATCATTAGTATAAAAAAAATTCATTAACAATGCCTGTTCTACTAATATTTTCTCGGTAACTACTTGAACAGGCTTTTTTTTTTCGGATGCCACGACTACATGAATTTAAACGTGCTACTAGATTGGCAGTTAGGTCTCACCCTTTTATTATTGAACTCGCTAGATACTCTAACAGTGTTTCTTTTCTTCACACTTTCCATCTGTAGAACTTTCTTTCAATTTCTTGCTTCCCTGACAAATGCAATCTTCAAAAATTTAAACGCAATATCAATCGCCATTTTATCTTCTTGAAGCCTGTTCCTTTTTGCTCTTTACTCAATCCTCCTCATTTTCAATCTTATTCCCTTTCAATCTCTGATTGGATTTCAGGTTCCTTCTAAAGTCTGCTTCAACACTATACTCCTAACGCTCGTTCTTTCCTATGCTAATATAAGTCCACAGAGTAACACTCTACATTGAGAGGCTCTTGAGTCGTGTATTGGGTTAACATTAGTAAAACCATAAAAAGAAACATATTGCATTCTAGTGGTATTGTTGCCTGGTTCGGGATGAAATGGTTAAAAATAAAAAAAATCTTCTTTACTAAGGAGTTCATGGCAAAACTGATTCTGTTTCTTTAGTATAAGTTATACAATGGCTGCCATATTTGAATGGATGTCATAGTGTCTGTAAGCAATAAAACAGGTCACTTTTTTATTTTTTTCTTTCAGCAACGTTCTTCAGCCATTTGCAATTTACCTTTTCTCTACTCACTCTGACACTAATGGTCACTGTTTGGAGTTTGGTGGTTCTATATTTGTTTTGTATTTATTTATATTTATTTTATATATATATATATATATATATATATATATATATATATATATATATATTTATATTTATTTATATATATTTATTTATATTTATTTATATATATATTTATCTTTATTTTTATATATATATATTTGTTTTTGTATTTATTTATATTTATTTATATATATATATTTGTTTTGTATTTATTTTATTTTATATATATATATATATATATATATATATATATATATATATATATATATGTTTTGTATTTATTTATATATATATTTGTTTTGTGATTATTTATATTTTTATATATATATATATATATATATATATTTATTTTGTATTTATTTATATTTATTTATATATTTATACTTATTTATATTTATATATATTTGTTTTGTATTTATTTATATTTATTTATATATATATTTGTTTTGTATTTATTGCTTATATTTTTATCTTTATTATCTAATAATATTAATTCTTTTTTACAATACATATTTTTTAGCCTTAATTTCTATGCTTTTCTTCTTCCTTCAAATTCTCTCTCTTTCCACCATTTTAAAAATCAAGCAACATTTCATTTATCTATTTAAATTTTCCCAATTTTTTCATTTATTTCCTTCCCTCATTTTTCATTTATTCCATTTATTACTTCATTCTTTGATTTTCATTCATTCATTTCTCCTTTTGTTTATTCATTCTTTTCCCTCTTTCATTGTTAATTGTAGAAAAAGAATAATTCTTTTAGCTCTTTCACTTTTAATTTCTTCATTCTCTCTTTTATTATTCCTTCTTTTCATCATTCATTCTCTCCTCTCTTTTATTATTCATTGAGAACAATTTTCTTTTAGTTCATTCCCTTTATTGTTTCATTTACTCCTTCTTTTATTTCATTCATTGCTTTTTTATACTCTTTTCTTCTTATTTCACCCCAAGTAAGGCAATAAAGCTTCAAAGACGTAAGGGGTTACCGAGTGTGAAAGAATATAAGGAAAAGAAAAACATTAGTAAGGAGAGAGAACAATAAATTCGGCTTCAGTTCTATAAACCTAACGCTTGTTTTTTCCTATGATAATATAAGTCTCTACCTTGAGTGGATCTTGAGCTTTGTGCTGAATGAGCATTAATAAAAAAAGAAAATATTATCTAAAGGTGTACGGTAGGGTAATGGATGTCGAGACAAAAAGTGTAATCATCGAGCCGAGTTCAAATTGCGGTTACGTTTCTCTCTTCTACTATCAACTATGGATTAAATAGTAGGCTAGATTGACTTCACCGGCGTTGCGTAGCCAGCAGTCTACAAGTAGGAATATTCCCAAATCCTGGAGAAAGGATTAGGTAACGAGAAAACTATCTTCCAGAAGAATGTAGAACAATTCATATTCGCTTGGAGAGTTATGACTGCCTAAGTCTTGGAAAGCCACTCTATTAAGAAAATGGTAATTCTTTCATCTTTGTACTTTCGTTGTTTTATATCGCAAGATCAATGTAGGATATCATCTTATTGTTATGAAAGATAGAGGCGAAATAAACGAGCTAAAGTTAACCCGATACACGGCTCAAGAGCCGCTCAATGTAGAGCGTTACTATGTGGATTTATATTAGTGTAATAAAGAACAAGCGTTAGTAGTAAAGGGCTGAAGCAGACTTTAGAAGGAACCGGAAATTCAATCAACGAGTGAAAGGGAATATGATTGAAAAATAAGTGAGACGAGCTTCATCTAAGAACACCAAAGAATAAAACCAAAATGGTGGTGGCGTATCAAGCCTTCTGTGAAAATATATAAAGTCTGTGAGGCTAAAACTGAGTAAATGGACGCAGTGATTATCATTAGGCTATTATGAAACAAAAACTGAAACTGATACACAAAGATGATAGGAAGATATATCAGTAGGTAGATATCGACAGACTGGGTGAGATAGATAGATAGATAGATAGATAGATAGATAGATAGATAGATATGAACAGACTGAAATAGATGGATAAATATAAACAGACTGAAATATATATATATATATATATATATATATATATATATAGATAGATAGATAGATAGATAGATAGATAGATAGATATGAAAGAGACTGAAATAGATAGATAGATAGATAGATAGATATGAATAGACTGAATACGTATAAACAGACTGAAATATATATATATATATATATATATATATATATATATATATATATAAATAAATATATAGATGAATGAATATGAACAGACTGAAATACATATGAACAGACTGAAATAGATAGATAGATAGATAGATAGATAGATAGATAGATAGATGAATGATATGAACAGACTGAAATAGATGGATAAATATAAACAGACTGAAATATATATATATATATATATATATATATATATATATATAGATAGATAGATAGATAGATGATATGAATAGACTGAATACATATAAACAGACTGAAATATATATATATATATATATATATATATATATATAGATAGATAGATAGATAGATAGATAGATAGATAGATAGATATGAACAGACTGAGATAGATGGATATGAACAGACTGAGATAGATGGATAAATATAAACAGACTGAAATAGATTTTGATGAAGGTCATTGAAAGTTAAATTCCCGTCGAATATATTTCATTTTAAAATTTGGAGTCATGTCGTCTTCTGCGAAGCAAACACTCTTGGCGAAACACATCGTTAATAAATTTTTCGACTTTGTCTCATCATCTTCACTTTTGTTTCGAATACTATTACTTTAACCTATATATATAATTTTTATTGACTTTACTTTTAATTTAATCATATAATATATGAACTTTTTAGCTTCTTTTTTAATTTTTTAGCTTTTGAACCATGGTTATTACTGCGTAGCGAAAAAACCATATTTTAAATCAGTTAATTTATAATATTTATACTCTGTAAATTTACACTGTGCACTGTTTTGTAAAAATAAAAATAAAATATCAATAAGAACACCGGATTATATTCTTACTGTTCTTTATATATACATATATATATATATATATATATATATATATATATATATATATATATATATATATATATATATATAAAAAGTTCGACAATGATATCTATGTGCAGGGGTCTGTTTTACCATATCGAATAATTTGACTTTACCCAATCGATCATGCTTACTGTTAACACATTGTTATATTATTACATTTAACCTTTCCTCGAAGGTATTGTTTCATGCCTTTCCACACGAAGGTATTCTGCCTATGACAAAATTGCTAATTTTGTTATCTATGCTGAGAATGGTTGCACTACAGAGAACACCCATTAAAAAAAAAAAAATAAAAATAATAATAATAATAATAATAATAATTCAACAGCACTTAGAATCACGCTGTGCGGAGGTCACCTTTTAGAGTGTTAGTATCTCTCTGGTGCAGACGAAGGAAGCAGAGGTTCTAATAAAAGACGCTTATCTATCTATCTATATATATTTTGAGAGCTTTGACACGGATTCATGGTCACGTATGTACACGATTCTCTTTAAAGGGTACTCCACACCCTTAAATGAGGTCACTTCCTGAAAATTGCTTCATGCTTTTGTGCGAATCCATTGTTCACAGCTGAGCGCAGTGGAATGTTAAGCATTTTGCAGCAAGCAGGGGTTTAGGGTTGTTGTTATGCAGGTTCTTTAAACACCAAGCCAAAAGAATTTTCTTTCAAGAATTTTGGTTTTTCTCGTTCTTTTTTTTTTCCTCTTCATATTCACATTTTTCTCTCTTTCTTCACTATCTATCTATCTATCTATCTATCTATCTATCACATTTTTCTCACTTTCTTCTTTCAGGTTCTCGTTCATTTTTCTTGGTTTTCATTCGATTTCCTCCTGTTAAATTTTCTGCGATTTTTTTTTTCATTTTTTTTCCTCGCTTTTTTTCTCGTTTTTCCAACAGTTTCTTTCTTCTTTTTTTTCCTTCGTTAAATTTGCTACTTTTTTTTTCTTTGTTTCTTCAATTTCTCATTCGGTTTCTGTGGTAGATCAGTTGTCATCCAAGGCTATAGAACACCGTCTGTCCTGCTATTTACCCATAGCTGGGGAGGGGAAGAAGAAGAGGATTCATACCATTCTCAAGGGTATTAGCACGTAAGTGAATGTAATGGATTCGACTGGAAAGTCAGTGAGTCAGTTATGTGCCATGTGTGATACACGCTTAGGCGATCATGTGTCTTTCGATACATGACTGACGAGGCAGATTTTTTTCTCGCAGTAGGTTACCATTTCTTTCTGTGATAGACCAGTTGCGATCCAAGGCTATAGAACCCAGTTTGCCCTGCTATTTACCCTTAGCTGGAGGGAGAAGTAGAGGATTCATACCTTTCCCAAGGGTATTAGCACGTAAGTGAATGTAATGGATTCGACTGGAATTCGAACTCGGCTCTTCGATTGCTCAATCCGAAACGCTATCGAACGTGCCTAGTGATTCGAATAGTTATCCGAATATTAATCCATATAGTGATCTGTATATTGATCACTAAGACGCTACGCTAATTCCCATATATACATTACACTTACCGTTACGTGATTTAATTATTCAAAATGGGATCGCCAGTGTTTGCTCCCTGGTGATCTGTGTTCAAACTCCAGTGTCGGCAGTGACACTTTGTTTCTATATAACACACTTCTTCATTATTCTTTCGTGGTCTTTCAGTTTATCGTCTGTTCTCCTTTTCCTTCAACATGTCGCTTTTGCTTTTCCTTTAAATTTCGTCCTTTTTCATTTTCTCGCCTGTTCTCGTTCTTCTTTTTTTTCCTTCCTTTTTCATTCTTCCTTTGTTATCTTACCTCATTCGTCTTTCACTCCTTCATATTTTTCCTGTGCTTCTTTCTTTGTTTTATCTTTTTCGCATTCCTCCGCCAATTTCTCTTTTCATCGCCTTATTTTTTAATATTTCATTCACTTTTTTTTCTAATTTTTCTTTCATTGCTTCACCTTCTTCTCATTCTTCTTTCGATTCATTTTTTTCTCTTCTTTCATAGTTCCGCATTTTTCTTCTTCTTCCGTCAATTTCTCATTTTTTTTCTAGTTTTTTCTCATTTTTTTTCTAGTTTTTTCTTTCGATTTCTCTTTCGCTTCTTTTTACTGCTTCTTTCATTTTTCATATTTTTCACATTCATTTCTTGTATATTTCCGCTTGTGTACCATTTTCATTCATTAATTTAACTTCTTCCTTCATTTTCTCGACTATTTTTTTTTTTCGTTTTTCATTCGATTTCTTATTCTTTCATTCTGGGTTTCTTTTAGTTTCGTTTGTGGTGTTTTTCCTTCAATTTTTCCTTCGTCTTTCTTCGTTTTCCTTCATTTTCTCTTTTTTTCTGTCTTCCATAATATTCTCATTTTCGTTCTTCATCCATTTTCTATCTCTTCTCTCCTTCTTCCTTCAGTCTCTTAATTTTTCACTCTCTCCTCATTATCTTTCATTCTTTTTTCATTCCTCTTTCATCGTTTCTCTTTTTTCTCACTCTTATTTCAAGTCCATCTTTTCCTTCTTTCTTCATCGTTTTCTCACTCTTTATTCAATTACTCTTTATATTATTTTCCTGCTTCATTCTTCGACTTAACATATTTCTTTTTTGACTCTTCTTCATTCATTTCTTTACTTTTTTTGTTGTTCCTTCAATTTCTCAGTTGTGTTCTTCCCTTTTTTTTCACACCTTCATCTTTATCTCGTTCTTTTTTTCCAATATTTAATTTCTTTTCTGTCATCCCTTCATTTCCTCTCCTTTTATCATTCTTCTTTTATTGTTGCACCTTTTCACTTTCTTCCTTCAATATTTAAAAATTTTCACATTTGTGTTTCAATTTTATCTTTTTTTACATCTTCGCTTTTTTTCTATTTTTTCTTTTATTTTCTTTTTCTTGTTTTTCCTACGATTTAATTTTATCTTGTTTTTCAATCTATTTGATTTCTTCATTGTTTTTCCTTCGATTTAATTCTTCATTGTTTTTCTTTCGGTTTAATTCTTCATTGTTTTTATTTCGATTTACTCTTTTCATTGTTTTTCTTTCTATTTAATTTTATCTTGTATTTCCTTCTATTTACTTTCTTCATTGTTTTAACTTCAATTTACTTTTTTTCATTTTTTTTCTATTTACTTGTTTCATTGTTTTTCCTTCGATTTAATTCTTCATTGTTTTTCATTCTATTTACTTGCTTCATTGTTTTAACTTCAATTTAATTTTTTTTCGTTTTTTCCTTCTATTTACTATCTTTTAGTTTTTCCTTCGATTTAATTCTTCATTGTTTTTCATTCTATTTACTTGCTTCATTGTTTTTCCTTCGATTTAATTTTTTTTTCGTTTTTTTCTTTCTATTTACTTTCTTTTTTGTTTTTCCTTCGATTTAATTCTTCATTGTTTTTCCTTCTATTTACTTTCTTTATTGTTTTTCCTTCGATTTAATTCTTCATTGTTTTTCATTCTATTTACTTGCTTCATTGTTTTTCCTTCGATTTAATTCTTCATTGTTTTTCATTCTATTTACTTGCTTCATTGTTTTTCCTTCGATTTAATTTTTTTCGTTTTTTTTCTTCTATTTACTTTCTTTTTTGTTTTTCCTTCGATTTAATCATTGATTTTACTTCAATTTAATATTTTTCGTTTTTTTCCTTCTATTTATTTTTTTCCTTGGATTTAATTCTTCATTGTTTTTCATTCTATTTACTTTCTTCATTGTTTTTCCTTCGATTTATTTTCAGTGTTTTTCCTTCGATTTCCTTTCCTGTTGTTTTTCCTTCGATTTAATTTTTCATTGTTTTTCCTTCCATTTTCATTTATCTAGTTTTTTTTTTACGGTTTACTTTCTTCATTCTCTCTGCATCGATTAACTTTTTTCATTCTCTCTGCATCGATTTTCTCTTTTCAGTTTTTTTTTCTTTCGATAATTTTGTCTTCTTTTTTCTTCAACCTTTCCTTTTTTCATCTTAATCCTTCGATTTACTTGTCCCTTTTCTCTTTCACCTTCATTTTATTCTCTCTGTTATTTCCTTCAGTTTCTCCATTTTCCTTCGGGCTCGCCTTTTCCTTCATTCCATTTTTCATTTTCTCAATTTTGTTTTTTCTTCACAAATGGTTACTCGCTGGGTATGACCTTCAATTTCGTATTTCCTTTTTTTCTTATCTTAAAGTTTAAATTATTTCGTTTATATGTTTGATATTGTAAATCATAGTTACAACAATGGAAAGAGGATCGCGTTAATTAAGAACGCTAGTGAAGGGAAGCAAAAGGCAGTTATGTCCCTTTATAGGGGACAAATTTACTAACGCCCTAAAGTACCCGGAAGGTTACGTGACAGACCGTGAGTGAAAGTAGCGTTTCTGCGACAATAGTCAGTTGCTGATTAGCTTCCAACAGAGCCACAGATGGTAGCCAGCGGCGGCTTGGCTAACGAACGAAAGCCATGCGTGCTAAATGGGAACATAAATGATATCTCCCGGGCTGTCCGTGTCCCTCGCAGAAACATTACAAGTAAAACTTTCTTTATAATCGCCCTCTCCTTTTATATACTGCTTGCTAATTTTTCATATGTAGTTTATTTCGTGTTTTATTTTCGTTAACTTTTAGTCGACGACCTGTTATAGCTTCAACGAACTTTTCTACAAATTTCAGGAATAACACTTGTGAAATTATTTAACAGACTGCTATTAGCTTCCGAAAAATACGAGTTTTAAAATATCCTCTAAAGATTCATTTCTAGAATGGTTACTAGCTCAGGGATAATGAGGTTGGTCTGCTCTACTACTTAAACAATCGCCAGAAGACGACTGATTCTTGCTTTTTCTAAGATGACGAGGAGTTGAGACAATTAAGGCTAAGTGCTGCCATACCATGTACACACGTGCGAATCATTTCATTGTTTTTGTATTCAACTGGTGAGGAGGAGGTTCCATTCGAACAACTATTCCCAAGGTCTGCTGCTTTATGCAACAGAGGCCCGAAGGGATGCTTCCCCGGTCGCCATATTCTTAATCATTTAGATGTACGTTCAACAGTTATCCTACCTATATATTTATTTTTTTTAAGCATATCACCCCAAGCAAGGAGGGAGTACTACTAGCTAGGGGTTACAAATAGTAAGAACAAGACAAAGAGGCTTGTTTGAGAAAAGAATATAGAAAAGTACATGGATCGGGATCAAGGTATGTGAAATGTCGATTGACATTAGATTTGAATATTTGAAGATTATAGGGAAGCAGGTAGGAGTTCCACAGTCGGGAAGTGCGAGAGAAGAAGCTGTTGGAGTAGAAGAGGCAGTTACATTTAACTGTTTCGACAGTGAAAGGGTGGGACCGAAATGCCAACCTAGTAGCAAGCTTAAGTTCATGCAGTTGGGGCACCAGTGAAAATAGCTCGTCAGAGCAGATGCCATAGAAGTATTTGTAGAAAAGACAGAGGGAAGCCACATCACGATTGTGAGAAAGTGAATGTAGACGAGATGACAGATCAGGACCTATCATCTTGCATATCTGTCTTTGGATTTTGTCGAGGACCTCAAGATTAACAGCCGGGGCACCAGACCTTGTATGGCAACAGTATTCAATGCCTTATAATCTTATGTCCATAAAACAACCACATTTTCTACCTAGAAATGTTTTTAGCCTCATAGTGTGTGAAAAATAGAGTAAAAAAAGAGACACTATTTACATTATTCGGACTATTGTCCTCATCTATGTCGCCATGTTTATCACAACGTTTCGGCCGTTGTACTCTCCGGCCTTCTTCAGGTGGTTGGAATGTCGAACTGAACCCTTTATTTCGCTCATTGGGGTAGACTGTTCTAGTTCCACGTGCCATGTTTTAATGGATAATCGAAGAAGGCACCATCTAGATTTTTCTATGGACTACACTGTTTAGCTGAAATGTAAAGTAAGGTTCAGAAAGCCAGGGATATTTCTTTCATGCCTTGACAATGATGTGTGGTAAGCGAGACGGTAATCACCACAGAAAATGAAAGTCAGGTGTTTTCATTTCCGTTAAAATGTCCTTGAAAAGCATTAATACACTACTTCGCCTCTTAGTAATGGGTTAAATAGCGGTATAGATAGGTCTCTTTAGCCTTGGATTGCGGCTGGTCTACGAGAAAGAAAGTTCTAAATAAAAAAACCTTGATCAAAGTAACAGGAAACAACTACCATTATCTTTCTCAAGTAGTCAGGGCAATACACAGGTGATAAGGAAAGATAATCTATGGAAAGCAATACCCTGTGGTATAACAAAAAAAAAAAAAGCATCCCTTTTTAAACCCGGACAAATAAAATTATCTGCAAATTTATTATCTGTCAAAAATGTACGACGCGAACATTAGATTTTTCTGCTGTTTTTTTTCGTCTGTGTCCATCAATCTTTTTATTTCTCTCTCTCTCTCTCTCTCTCCCGTCTCCTCTCTCTCTCCTTCTCTCTCCCGTCCTCCTCCTCTATCTATCTTTCTCTCTTTCTCTCACTCTCTCTCCTGTTACTTCTCTCCTCCTCGTCTCTCTTTCTTTAGCTATCTATCTTTCTCTCTATCTTTCTCTCTTTCCTCTCTCTCTCTCTTCCTGCTTTCCCCCTCTCCCTAGCTATCTCTTCTCCCTCACTCTCTTCCTATTACGTCTCTCTCTTTCTTTATCACTTTCATCCATTTTCCTCTCTCTCTCCCTTCTCTCTGACCCGTCTCTCCCCTCTCTCTCTCTCTCTCTCCCGTCTCCCCTCTCTCTCTCTCTCTCTGTCCCGGCCTCTCGGCTTCTATACTCCTCTCCCTAGCTATCTATCTTTCTATCTATCTCCTCTCTCCCTAGCTATCTATCTTTCTCTCTCTCTTTTCCCCCCCCTCTCTCTCTCTCTCTCTCTCTCTCTTCCCTATCTATAATCTCTCTTCTCCCTTCAGCTCTCTCTTTCTTTATCACTTTCATCCATTTTCCTCTCTCTCTCTCCTTCTCTCTGTCCCGGCCTCTCCCTCCCTCTCTCTCTCTCCCGTCTCCCCATCATCTCTCTCTCTCTCTCCCGGCCTCTCTCTCCATCTCCCCCCCCCTCCTCTCTCTCCTCTGTCCCAGCCTCTATCTTCCTCCCTCTCCCTAGCTATCTATCTTTCTATCTATCTTTAGTTTTCCTCTCACTCTCTCTTCCTATTACGTCATCTCTCCCTGCCCAGCTACGTCTCTCTTTCTTTATCACTTTCATCCATTTTCCTCTCTCTCTCTCCCGTCTCCCCCCCTCTCTCTCTCTCTCTGTCCCGGCCTCTCGGCTTCTATCCCCCTCTCCCTCCCCTTCATCTCTATCTATCTTTCTATCTATCTTTCTCTTTTTCCTCTCATCCCCCTCTCTCTTCCTATTACGTCATCTCTCTTCTTCCCGTCATCTCTCCCGTCTCTCTTTCTTTATCACTTTCATCCATTTTCCTTTTCCTCTCCCCCCTCTCTCTCTCCTTCTCTCTCGGCTATCCCCCTCTCTCCTTTCTCTCTCTCTCTCCCAGTCTCCCCCTTCTCTCTCCTCTCTCCTCTCCAGCCTCTCCCTCTCCCCCCTCCTCTCTCTCTCCCCTAGCTATCTATCTTTCTATCTATCTTTGGTTTTTCCTTTCCTCTATTCGTCTCTCTCTTCCTTCGTCTCTACTTTCATCATCTCTCCCCTGCCCGTCTCCCCCGTCTCTCTTTCTGTTTAGCCTCTGGCCCCCTCTCCTTTCATCCATTTCCTCTCTCTCTCTCCCGTCTTTCCCCATCCATTTTCTCTCTCTCTTCTCTCTGTCCCAGCCTCTCTCTCCTCTTCTCCCTCCCCCCTATCTCTCTCTCTCCCTAGCTATCTATCTTTCTATCTATCTTTCCTATCTCTTTAGTTTTCCTCTCTCTCTCTCTTCCTATTCCTTCTCTCCCGTAATCTCTCTTCTCCCAGCTTTCTCTCTCTCTTTCTTTATCACTTTCATCCATTTTCCCCCTCTCTCTCTCCTCTCTGACCCTTTTCCTATCTATCTTTAATTTTCCTCTCCCTCTCTCTCTCTCTCTCCCGTCTCTCTTTCTTTATCACTTTCATCTCCCCCCTCTCTCTCTCTCTCTGTCCAGCCTCTCTCTTCTTCTATCCCTCCTCTCCCTAGCTATCTATCTTTCTATCTATCTTTAGTTTTCCTCTCTTCCCCTCTCTCTTCCTATTATCGTCATCTCTCCCTGCCTTCATCTCTCCCTTCGTCTCTCTTTCTTTATCACTTTCATCCTCTTTTCCTCTCTCTCTCTCCCTCCTTCTCCCCCTCCCTCTCTCTCTCTCTATCTTTAATTTTCCCGGCCTCTCGGCTTCTCTCCCCCCTCTCTCCTAGCTACTTTTTCTCCATCTTTCTATCTATCTATATCCCCCTTTAGTTTCTATCTCTTTAGTTTTCCTCTCACTCTCTCTTCCTATTACGTCATCTCTCTTCCTGTTACGTCATCTCTCCCTTCCCAGCTACGTCTCTCTTTCTTTATCACTTTCATCCATTTTCCTCTCTCTCTCTCCCGTCTCCCCCCCTCTCTCTCTCTCTCTGTCCCGGCCTCTCGGCTTCTATCCCCCTCTCCCTAGCTATCTATCTTTCTATCTATCTTTAGTTTTCCTCTCATCTCTCCCTCTCTCTTCCTCCATTTTCCTCTCTCTCTCCTCCCTCTCATCTCCCCCTTCTCTCTTCGCCTCTCTCTTTCTTTATCACTTTCATCCTTTAGTTTTCCTTTCTCTCTCCTCTCTCTCCCTTCAACTACGTCTCTCTTTCTTTATCACTTTCATCCATTTCCCCCTCTCTCTCTCTCTCTCTCCTCGGCCTCTCCCTAGCTATCTATCTTCCTTCTATCTTTAGTTTTCCCCCTCTCCCTAGCTAGCTATCTTTCTATCTATCTTCTCTTTTTCCTCTCTCTCTCCCTTCTTTCCCCTCCTCCTCTCTCTTCCTCCCCCTCTCCATTCATCTCTCCCCTATCTGACCCATCTCCCCTCTCTCTCTCTCTTAACTATCGTCTCTCTTTCTTTATCACTTTCATCCATCCCTTTCCTCTCTCTCTCTCTCCGTCTCCCCCTCTCTCTCTCTGTCCCGGCCTCTCGGCTATCTATCCTCTCCCTAGCTAAGTTTTCCTCTCCTCTCTCTTCCTGTTACGTCATCTCTTTCTCTCTTTCTTTATCACTTTTCCTCTCCTCTCTCTTCCCTAGCTATCTATCTTTCTATCTATCTTTAGTTTTTTCCTCTCCCTCTCTCTTCCTTCGTCTCTCTTTCTCTTTCCCCCCTCTCTCTCTCTCTCTGTCCAGCCTCTCTTTCACTTTCATCCATTTTTCCTCTCTCTCTTTCTCTCTCTCTCTCTCTTTCCCATTTTTTCCTCTCTCTCTCTCCCGTCTCCCCCCTCTCTCTCTCTCTGTCCCGGCCTCTCGGCTTCTATCCCCCTCTCCCTAGCTATCTATCTTTCTATCTATCTTTAGTCTTTCTTTTCCTCTTTTCCATCATCTCTCCCTTCTCTCTTCCTTTTCATCCATTTTCCTCTCTCTCTCATCTCTCTCCTCTCTCTGTCCCCGGCCTCTCGGCTAGTTTTCGTCTCTCTTCTCTTTACTTTCACTCTTTCATCCATTCCAGCCCTCCTCTCTCTCTCGTCCTCTCCTCCTTTCTCTCTCTCTCTCTGTCCCGGCCTCTCGGCTTCTATCCCCCTCTCCCTAGCTATCTATCTTTCTATCTATCTTTAGTTTTCCTCTCACTCTCTCTTCCTGTTACGTCATCTCTCCCTTCCCAGCTACGTCTCTCTTTCTTTATCACTTTCATCCATTTTCCTCTCTCTCTCCTGTCTCCCCCTCTCTCTCTCATCTGTCCTGGCCTCTCCCTTCTCCCTACGTCTCTCTTTCTTTAACACTTTCATCCATTTTCCTCTCTCTCTCCCTTCTCTCTGACCCGTCTCTCCCCTCTCTCTCTCTCTCTCCCGTCTCCCCCCCCTCTCTCTCTCTCTCTCTCCCAGCCTCTCATCTATCTATATCTCCTCTCCTCCCTATTACGTCATCTCCCCTTAGCTTCTCTCTTTCTTTATCTATCTTTCCCGTCTCCCCCCCCCTTTTCCTCTCCCGGCCTCTCTCTCTTCCTGTTACGTTTTTCCTCTCTCTCTCCATCATCTCTCCCTTCCCAGCTACGTCTCTCTTTCTTTATCACTTTCATCCATTTTCCTCTCTCTCTCTCCCGTCTCCCCCCCCTCTCTCTCTCTCTCTGTCCCCCCCCTCCTAGCCTCTTCCTATCTATCTTTAGTTTTCCCCCCTCTCTTCCCCTAGCTATCTATCTTCCTATCTATCTTTTCCATTTTTTTCCTCTCCCCTCTCTCTTCCTCTGTCCCGGCCTCTCATCTCCCCCTCTCCCTAGCTGCTTCTATCTCTCTTTCTTTATCATCTTTCATTCGTCTCTTTTCCTCTCTTTCATCCCGTCTCCCCCTCTCCTCTCTCTCTCTCTGTCCCGGCCTCTCGCTTCTATCCCCCTCTCCCCTAGCTTCTATCTTTCTATCTATCCCTCTCACCTCTCTCTTCCCTATTACTATCTCTCTTTCTTTCTTTATCTTTCATCCATTTTCCTCTCTCTCTCTCTCCCGTTTCCTCTCCAGCCTCTCTCTCTTCCTAGCTATCTATCTTCCTATCATCTTTAGTTTTCTCTCCTCTCTCTTCCACGTCATCTCTCTCCTTCCAGCTCGTCTCTCTTTCTTTATCACTTTCATCCATTTTTCTCTCTCTCTCCCGTCTCCCCTGTCCAGCCTCTCTCTCTCTCTCTGTCTATCTATCGGCCTCTCCTATTACGTCATCTCTCCCTTCCCAGCTACGTCTCTCTTTCTTTATCACTTTCCCCTCTCTCCTCCCGTCTCCCCCCTCTCTCTCTGTCCGGCCTCTCAGCGTCCTGTCCCCCTCCCCTAGCTATCTATCTTTCTATCTATCTTTAGTTTTTCCTCTCATCTCTCCCTCTTCCTCTTTCTTTATCCACTTTTCATTTTTCCTCTCTCTCTCTCTCCCGTCTCCCCCCCTCATCTCTCCTTCCCAGCCTCTACTATCCCCCCTCTCCCCTAGCTATCTCTTTCTATCTTTTAGTTTTTCCTCCTTTCTTCCATTTCATCTCTCTCTCCAACTCTCTCTCCCCTCTCCATTTCTCTCTCTCTCTCTCTGTCCGGCCTCTCTCTCTCTCTCTCTGTCCCCCTCTCCCTCTCCCCTAGCTATCTATCTTTCTATCTATCTTTAGTTTTCCTCTCTCTCTCTCTTTTCCTCTCAACTATCCCCCTCTCTCTTCCTGTCATCATTTTCCTCTCTCTCTCATCTCCCCCTCTCCCTTCTTTCCCGGCCTCTTTCATCCTTTCCTCCCCCTCTCTCTTTCTTTATCTACTTTCATCCATTTTTCTCTCTCTCTCTCCCGTCTCCCCCCCTCTCTCTCTCTCTCTGTCCCTCTCTCCTCTCTCTCTTCTCCCCCCCTCTCTCTCTCTCTCTCTGTCCTAGCCTCTCCTTCTATCCCCCCTCTCCCTATCTTTCTATCTATCTTTAGTTTTTCCTCTCTTTCCTGTTCATCTCTCTCTTCCTCTCTTTCTTTATCACTTTCATCATTTTCTCTCTTCTCTCCTCTCCCCTCTCTCTCCCTCTCTCTGTCCCGGCCTCTCTCTTTCTTTATCACTTTCATCATTTTCCCTCTCTCTCTCCCATCTCCCCCCCCTCTCTCTCTCTCTCTCTCTGTCCCCCTCTCTCTCTCTCTCTTCTCGCCTTTGCTTCCCCCCTCTCCCTAGCTAGCTATCTTTCTATCTATCTTTAGTTTTCCTCTCACTCTCTCCTCCTGTTACGTCATCTCTCCCTTCCCAGCTACGTCTCTCTTTCTTTATCACTTTCATCCATTTTCCTCACTCTCTCTCTCCATTTTTTCTCTCTCTCCGTCTCCCCCCTCTCTCTCTCTTTGTCCCGGCCTCTCCTTCTATACCTCCATCTTTCTATCTATCTTTAGTTTTCTATCTATCTATCTATCTCATCTACGTCTCTCTTTCTATCTATCTATCTATCTCCCTCTATCTATCTTCCTCTTTTTCCTCTTCACCCTCCCTCTTCTATCTATCTATCTATTTCTATCTATCAACTCTCCCCTTCCAGCTGTGTCTCTCTTTTCCTATTCCTTCTCTATCACTTTCTTATCATTATTAAAAAATAAAATTAGCATAAAGATACGTTCTGCATAATGTTTATCGACGGGGATACTTACATTCCTGACAAATGTGTTGAGGTCTCTTTCGCTTTGGAAAAGACATGAGTTCGTATCTTCTTCTGTCAGCTGTAGATTTAATATCAGCGTAGATTGCGTTATCTAGCCTTGAGTAGCAGTCAGTCTATGAGAAAGACTCTGATTTTGAAATCATGCAAAAAGGCAACAGAAAACTACTCCACTGTGTTTCCCAAGTAGTCACAGCAATTCACAAATGATTAAAATAACCAAAACTAAGGAAAGCCATGATTGCTTACGTTTTGAATGGATATGGCATCCACAAAAAATGTTTGGGATGTGTCGGAAACATAATATTTATCGGCATGTACTTGGAAAATGGCGAACTCAATTCAGATTCCAGCAGAGTGTATTACGTTTTCTTTGCACTAATACCCTTGGGAAAGGCCCGAATCCATCTCTGATCCAAGCAGTTATAGTTTAGATAACAGCGTAGAATTGGTCCTTGAGAGATAACCAGTATCAGAGAAGGACAACTTTCAATTCTAAATTTTCGTTTATCTTTCTCAAGAATCCATAGCAATTCAGAGTTAAGAAAATGGACCCGAGAATGGTCACCTGCGATCTGAAGAGACCTGCTATTTAATATATATATATATATATATATATATATATATATATTACAATAAACGTGCAATCAATTTACAAATTCATGAATTCTTCATACAAAAAACAAATGCAAAGGTTAGTGATTTAATTGGCGAGAAATCCATCGTCGCAAACAATTCAAATAATATACAAAAACCTCCGAATCCGTTATGAATGAAATGATCCTTGTTTCTATAAATTTCTGCCGTATTAGTTTTTGCATTTGTTTTTTGTGTGAATAATTCATAATTTTAAATTGATTGCGTTTGTTGTAATTAAAATAACTGATCCAAGTGCGACTTTTTTGGATAATAAGTGCGACATTACTGTAATTATTGAACAATATAGTTCATGCCACTTTGACAGAAAATTTACCAGTAAAAAATTCGCTTATCACCATATTTGTACATGACGCACAACTGTAAAAATTTAAAATCAAACTCAGCGTTGCTACTGCGCGCTCAAAAACAATAGCTCATTTCAATAGCATTTTCGGATACAACAATACATATATTTTCGTTGTCCTCTTATTACTAAGAGAAAAAACAAAAACAACATCTATTCCATACCTGAAGATGTCTGCAAAGGAACAGACGAAGCTTGTAGTAAAAATAAAAACTAATACGGCAGAAATTTATAGAAACAAGGATCATTTTTCATTCATAACGGATTCGGAGGTTTTTGTATATTATTTGAATTGTTTGCGACGATGGATTTCTCGCCAATTAAATTATTAACGTTTGCATTTGTTTTTGTGTGAATAATTCATTAATATATATATATGATTGTCGCAAAAATCTACATCAGTGAGACATGCTCAAACACTCTTAAGATGCCAGCATGACACGTATGTCCTAATGACTAATGTGGCCATTGGAGAGTGTAGAAAAGGAAGATATTTCTTCTTCCTTTCTAAGCACCCCGTAACTATTGGTCTTAGTTTCACTGGTAACAACAGAGCAACTTCCCATTGCAATGGGCGCTACAACTTGGTGTAATGGTTAGCAGTTTTGACTAGCTTACGGTCAAATCACGCTGAAAACACCGGTTCTCGTTCGATCACCGAAGTTAAGCATCGTAGAGCCAGGTCAGTACTTAGATGGGGGACCGCTTGGGAACACCTGGTACTGTAAGCCCCCAAAGTCCAACCCTTACCTCACAGTCGTTGGTGGGGGTGTAAACGGTAGTGTCAGAGCTATGCCGTCCGGAACTTCGGACAAGGCGGACAGGTCTGACACACACGCCGGCTAACAAAGGGCTCTGGTGAAAATCCAAGGAGCGTCTGCATCGGTAACCGGCGGCTTCTGGTCGTTCCTGTCTTTGCGTCTGTGGGAATCCCGCGGCAAGCAAGAACGTTATCCGAGTAGGCCTGGGTACCCTACTTCTGTAATTTATCCCAAGAATCTTCTTCTCATAACAGGAAGGAGACTGCTCAATCCGCCCAGGGTGAATGCCGCATCAGTACAGTACAGTTTTGACTCGCTAGCTCAATTACGACTTGTCTGACTCACTATCTCTATCTCTATTTCTGTCTCTCTCTGTCTGACTGACTGATATTGACCGGCTGATTCGTTCTTTGGTTTTTCTCTATATTACGGTTTATCAACACTTTTAAAGCTGAAACATATTATGGAATATAAGAATAATTCGCCATTTCTTTGCGTGTGAGTATTGCATTAACTTTCTTTTTCTTTTCTTTTTTGCCAGAGTAACAATAATTTTTCCAGATACAAATCCTACTATTTAACCCATAAGTAGGGGGTAGATGGATACGTAACTGTTCCATCGGTATCTGTGCGCAAGTGATTATAACAAAACCTACTGGAATGCGAACTCGGCTGTCCGATTTCTCATTTCAAGCCACTATCCCTTTACAATACACCTGTACGCAAATGACCTTAAACTCCTAGACTGGTTTGCTTCTCAAGGCTATAGGACCCAGTCTAACCTGCTCTTTAACCATAACTGGGGGGAAAAATGGATTCATATATTCACATGTAAGAATGCAATGAACGCGACTGGAATTTAAACTAGACTCTCTGATTCATCAATCCGAGCCACTCTCCATGAATCCACGCTCTCTCTCTCTCTTCTCTCTCTCTCTCTCTCTCTGTCTCTCTCTGCATCTTTATCTTTGTATTTATGTCCCTCTCTCTCTCTCTCTCTGACTCACTATCTCTGTCTTTCTATGCGTCTCTCTCTCTCTGTCTCTTTTTCTGTCTCTCTCTGACTCACTATCTCTGTCTCTGTCTCCCTCTCTTCGTCACTCTCTCCGTCTCGCTATCTCTGTCTCTCTTTGCGTCTCTCTGTCTGCCTCTGTCTCTTTTTCTGCCTCTCTCTATATACATCTCAATTTCTCTGTCTCTCTTTGCGTCTCTCTCTCTGTTTGTCTGTCTCTGTCTGTCTGTCTCTCTCACTCTTTCTCTGTCTCTCTCTTTCTCTGTCTCTCTCTCTTTCTCTGAATAACTTTTGAAGATCAAAACTAACTGAAAGACTGAAGGGAGTTCCACAAGAGAAGTGCGAGAAAAAAACAGCAGAATCTACATACAACATCATCCTTGATATATATATATATATATATATATATATATATATATATATATATATATATATATATATTCTACAGAAAATCAGTCAGACATTCGAAGGCTGATGAGGATCGGCATTTAGTTAGGCCAGTCTAAAATTGACTATACCCACATGAGGTAATTTTGGATTTTTTGCTGCAATACAGATATATATATATATATATATATATATATATATATATATATGTGTGTTTACTTTTCATTTTTTGCATTATACTATATTTTTTGCATTACCTCTTTATTCTCTTTTGCACACACGTGTGTGTGTGTATATGTGTGTATGTGTGTAAGACATTCATTTTGTTTGAGTTCAGTTCTCAGTGTCTACCATGTGATGGATTTTGCAAGACTAATCTATTTTGTGATAAAACATAGATCGCTGACTTGTAACATCTGGCTCGATATAATCCCCAAAGAGACTTCCGGACTACAATGGCTATTGAGATCCCAGCTGTTTAACAGCACTTTCTTGCATCTTCTTTTTTTTTTAAATTTCCCCGTTTCCTCCCTACGACCCTCAATGAGTACATAAACGTCTGTACATGTGAAGGTGATTATGTATTGAAAGAAAATACACCCATATATATATATATATATATATATATATATATATATATATATATATATATATATATATATATGTCAAGTAATCTTCATTCGCCTCCCGTGGTTTGGCTACTTGAACAACTGAATCAGCATCAATCTCAGTCTAGCTGCAGACTCATATTGTTTACCTGACGGCGTTTGTAGTTTTTACAGGCGTTCAGCCTTAGCCAACATCCTGCGAAAATGTAATATTTATATAAACAAATGTTTGTGCGTAATGCATATATGTTCGTGTTGATGTATGACTGCATAGAGAACTATTTTAATTTCATGCCCATATGACCAACGATGGTAAGTAGAGACAGGGCGATAGAGAGATACAACAAGGGCAATGTATTTACGTTTAAGTTTTTTTATATATGTACATTAAGAAAGAATAAGCGACATTTAATCAAGAAAAATAAATTACTTCCTCTAAACTTACCTTAAACTCACGCAATTATTCCTATGTTTTCTGCTAAATATAATGCATCATAAGATTCATTCATTATATATATATATATATATATATATATATATATATATATATATATATACGCTTACACATACCATACTCACTCACTCCCTAAGAACCAAATAACACACACACAAACACTAAACAGAGACACATCCCCTCACTAGGTCCAATAAACTGTCAAACTGACCAGAGAATTCAGAGCAACATGTATCTATCAGCTCTTATCTCAAATAACAACTTAAAAGAGACTGTTTGACCAACACAAGGAATGTTAAAAGATTCATGTTAAAAGATAAAACAATAAAAAATTTAAAAAAACAAATGAAAACTACAGACAAAAGTTCATTTTCTCCAGCAAAAAGACATTCATTTCTGTAGTTTACTGCTACCAACAAGCAAAATATTTCTTCTCAGTCGAAACTAGTCGAGGAATCTAAATGGAATAATAATAAAAAAAACGAAAAGAATATTAATCTACAACCCAGTGTGTCTAAAAGATTTTTAATTTTTTAGTTTTTAATTTTTTATTTTCTTATTGTTCATATATATATATATATATATATATATATATATATATATATATATATATATATATGCATGCTTCATTAAAACGACAGAAGGTACTACGGTTAAGCTTTTATTTAATTTTTCTTTTGTTCGAACAAGAGCTTTCTTTTTCTGGACA